TGAGTTCCAGAACGTGGATGAGATTGCGACAAATCTTCAACAAGTTTGAACAAAACAAGCAGTTATGTATTTTCACTACAAATAAGGTAGGTATTTCGTTTTGTTGCGTGAACGTATTGAGCTTCATCTACCAAAGGAAACCTTAAATACTCGAAGCTTTCAAAAAGAACTACTGCATGGCAGGATTAAGGTAATTTTGCTGAGCTAAAATAAAATTTAAACCATATCGAAGAAATGTTTTTTTTTTTCAATTATCCTGGTGTTAACATCAGGGAAATAAAACAGAATAAATAACTGAATAAGGTTTACTATTTGCGCCCTCTTTTAGTTTGCGTGGGAACTAGAAGTTTTTGTTCTTTTCTGTTAGATTGTATTAAATGTAATATTACGTCCGATAGTCTGTGGACGTATCAAGCGTTTGCACGGTGGATTACACAGAGACTGCTTAATCAATTTTATACATACTGATAGAAGTTTGTTGAAACCATTTGCGATAAGTAAATGAAAATAATAAAACTTGAGCCTTACTAGTTACCGCAATGACGAAAAACTATGATGTTTGTTGACAGACAATAATATTTTGATATTATCAGTAGTACAGATAATATTTCAAGAAATGATAGTTGAGTAGCCAACTACACAAACAAGATTGAACACATTTTTAAAGTACTTCTAGTTTGTTGCTCTTGTTGAAAGTAGTGAAGAAAACACGTTGATGAATCTTCTTCAGATTTCCTTTTTGATGTGATGCTGAGCCATGCATATATATGCATGGCTCAGCATACAGCAGCCATAGAAATTTATTCATTACATTTCAACATTCAAATCTCTGCTCTTTCACAAACGTGTCCACTCAAACTTTTGACAGAACACTAGAGACTGCTTTGATGAACCCATTTTCCATTATTATTGGAAAATTAAATTTAATGTTGAAATTTAAAACTTTAACTACAAATCAGTTGAAACAACAGGTGTGACGTTACTAGATGCTAACTAGTATTTTTTTAAATCTGTAATTATTGTAGTATCAATATTAGCTAAATTATAAAAGTTGATCTTGACTCTCCTTTAAAAAATTTACAACGTTCTGATGAGATAATTTGCCTAGATATTGTCAATATTATAGTTTTGGTACTAATAGTAGCTTTTACAAAGCCTTGTGCATGTATGCACAAGGCTTTGTAAAAGCTGCTTATTATGTAGTGCACGTTCTATGGCTCAAACGGTGCTAATGAACTGTACAAACTGAATAGTGTATGACTGTATACCTAACAGATACTTCGGAGTTGTGCGTCATATTGTTGCGCAGTCATTTGCATATACCTTAGAGATATCAGCATAAAGAGAACACGGGGTACAGCTGCCTGTAAGTGGAAGCGATACAGGTAACGAGAGAGATGGATGCCCGATGATTCCCTCTGTCTCTGTTTAGCTAAGCTGCGATCGTGAAACGGGCATGGCTTTGATCGTAGAATAGGCGGGTGACTAGAAATTTCCCCAGCCAACCACAGAGCTTGACTAGAAAGAGATAGATCCATCCATCTCTCTCGTTGCCTATATTGCAAGATCGGAGCTCACTCTTTGCTTGTATCTCTACGATCCATACGAATACTTCTAGTACTATGGCAAAAAAACCGTATTGTTTATATTTTTGTTGTTTTAGAAAATAATTCATAAGAATATAAAGAATCATTCATCATCAAGAATACTGTTTTTTCGGAAGTTTTTATTTTACCGCATGTTCCTCATGAAACGTAGTTTTAAAAGCAAACTTAAGTGAAATGTTAAATTCATAACTTGGTTTTAAAATTTCCTTAAATATCAATAATTGATTATCTACGTAAGTAATCAACTATCTGACAGTTCTCCATAGAGTGATGAGTATAAGCATGTACTTAGTTACAAGTATCATAGCAACTGACAGCTGTCCCCTTGTTTATCGGTTAATGACGTATTGGGTGGGGTTGACGTTTGCTGTCATGTGATAATACTATTTCAGCCGTATTGGATCAATTTAAATTAAATAATTATACCAACAGCATTTGGGTTGGCTTGCCCGGAGTGATACCACGGCATCACTGAAAACCAGGATTAAGCAATGCTTTTGAGCGATTGAGGTTAATGGAGCTGTTGAGGTCAAAACTCTGCCCCTAATATGGGATAGGGAGGGGGGGGGGGGGGGAGGAATTAGCTCACCCACTCAATAAGTAGGGATGGGATGGTGTGCATGGATTTAATTTTCAAGGTGATGATAATCACAAACATGAGATAAATAAATAGCAATGAGGTGTGTAACTAAAATATTCTCGTTATTTAATTTACGACGGTAAGAACACATTTTTACAGAATGTTATTTTCTAAAGAATATCTACATAAAATTGTACAAGTATGTGAAAACTTATCAAATACTTTTTAATTTACAATTAACAGAGAAAAAATCAATATTCAAGTTCAACAAGATTAAGTTAAGCTTTATTTACTATTAAAGTTATAACTAGAAACTATTTACATTTTTTTTTATTAATAACAACGTCATGTTCTTTACAAATTAATATTTCGAATTGGCGCTCTTGTGTTTCCTATTCATATATGATAATATATTTAATTATATACCAGGTACAATTTGGAAAGGAAAGTGAAAGTGAAATATCTGAATTATCTTTCCGAACACATCTGAAAAATAATATCTCACTTTGTATGAAGCAAGAACTTGGCTCACACACTCCCGTGGACATATATTCTGTCTTTATCTAATCACACATGCATTTCAGAAACACAATCACGTAATATTGGGTTATCCACTTGCATTGATATATTACAATAAGGCAATTCCAACCGTTCTCGAGATATCACAATATTTCTATACTACAAGTTGTTTTCTGAAGAAAACTTCTAAAAAGTACAATTTGTTCAATTTACGTATAGTTTAAGCATCAGTATGTGGACGATATTTTTGTCATGCATCGTTGACTTAATTCTACTTTTTATTTACATTTATATATTTATAGAAGAATACGCGAATACATTAAATATTTTACCGCCTCCTTTAAATATAGGCTCAGTTTTAATGGCAAACATTAATATTATTAGGCTGTTTTATAATGTTATTTTGGCAGAAGTAAGATTATTGTAGTTACTCGATGTATTCGCATATACCGCTAACAAGAATTTAAAAATGGAAAACGCATTGGAAGACAGCGTTCTCAACATGTCATATGACAAAACAGACGATTATCACATAGAATAGACCTAAAGGATTCCTTGAAATCACAATCCTTAAAAATAAATTGTTCCCCAATTAATAATTACGTCAATAACGACGTTGAATATAACACGAAAAAAATAAACGACAAAAATCAGGTATAATAGGTAACGTTCGAAAGAGACATTAAAGCAACTCGAAAATTTCACAGTTGACTCTATGACTTGAATAACTTGATGGTAACTTTAGTTTTGTTGAAAAATAAATAAACAACAATATTTGCATTGACAAGTATCCGTTTGACTGAAAATATAATTACATGGAATTCCAAATTAGCCATAATTAGCCATTATACGTGTATAAGCGGATTGTACAAAATGAGTATTTGTATCATATTCCACGTTTCCCAGTATCAAACTGGCTTCTGGAATACACTTTCATAAGAATTGGCACTCAATAAGGAAAATATTGAGGAATGATAAATTAAATATCTTTTGGCATCGTACTGACGAAAAATTCAATCGCAAATTTTGTATACTTTGTATAATAGAAGCCTTAATTAAGATAGAACATCCAGCCTTCACTACAATAATAGCTTTAATATAACTGGCCACAGTAACGTGTTCGATAAAAAGCGACATCGAAATTAAGTTTCGAAGGTTTTTAATGAAGCTAAAGTACTAGTTGGTAAAATTAACCATTTTTAAATAATGCCTGGTAAGCTTCGTATTAACACTAAAGTAAATTAATCCAAAAATAAGAAGATAATATAGTTCGTAATAGAAACATGGAAGAGGTTACAGAAAGTAGAACGTTAGTAACTACAGATGAGATTATTAAATTGGTACCTACATACTTTAAGTTTAACAAAATCAATTCAGGTCCCTTTAATTTCTCTTAATTGTACACCAAAAGGTTTTCAATTCTTTACAAATCTTTGGTGCTTATCCACATTGCAATAATCGGCACAAACGAATCGAAGGATATGCAAACTATAAATTATATTACGAACACATTTTTTCTAGAAATTACATACAACGGTAAAACCTAATATTGAGATTGTAAATGTCATAAAAAGCTGCGAAATGTCAAGTCAGACGATTTGGAACAAAGTAAAGATTAAACACATTTAAATTGATGTCTTTCAATGATTTACAAAAAAAATATTAATTCGCGAAGTTTTATTTAAGCGCCGAAGTACTGGTTTGGTTTTTGTCATACCTATTTAAATATTTCTTAAACTTACTCCTGTTTTAATTCTAAGTTCCAACTCTGACTAGATCTATTGACTGTATACTTACTACGGAGTATACAGTCAATATGAACCTATTCTACGTCACAGTAGATTCATCAAGATACTGATTTAAACTAGGAGGTAGTTTATGTGACGTCATACTTGGTTCTCAATACTTCGCAACTTTTCGTTGACAAACATGTCTATTTTCTATGCTTAAGGAATTAATGTGTCGGTGGCTTTTAATAATATTTACCCTAATGAAATACATCTTTCAAATAAATACTATCTTGGAAGGTGTTGGTCCCGAAATATAATTTTTAAACAAATTATAAGATTTGGACCCATTCGGCAAACATGATTTTAAAATAAGTCATTAACATTCAGATCCGCAGTGGTCTCCTGCGAATGCTCCACTATGAGTATCGCTCTGCGATATCACACATCTTAAAACTAACACTTAACTATATATCCTTCTAAACACATATCACAATTGGATTCTCACGAGGAGATAAGTTTTTAAAGTCCAAGGTTACGCGTGTGCCCGCGTCACATAAGCGAGCGTCATTCGTGTAAGTTTTTGCTAAGAAGCAAACTATTATGTGGCCCTGATAAATGTCTGATGAGTTCTGGAAGTGCTTCAAACGTAAGTTGACAGAAACAACAGTTAAACCGACCAGGTGTATTTGTACGTCCATCGTTCTCGCTCGATGATATTACATTCCGATGGACCGAACACAAATGTTTTAACAGATGAGCTTTTTGTTTGAACATAGCGACACACAGTCGACAAGCAAACGGCTTTTCTCCGGTGTGTACTCGTAAATGAGTTTTGAGATTCCATGACATGCCAAATTGTTTGCCACAATACTCGCAACGATATTCGCGTACTGGCGCCTGTTTACTCGAACCTTGATCGTGTTCTGTCGAGGGTGTATCATCACCGCCCATTTGAGGTTGACATAGCCAAGGTCCCCAGGACCCCGCACTTGGAGGTCGATATTTAAGGGCATCATCGTGCGGCACAGTAGGAGGAGTTGCACTCCTCTCTGGTAAGTACGGAGGTGCTGAGGTGCTCAACGGGTGTAACACTCCAAGCCGAGCGCTAGCTGCTACTGCAGCCGCACTCGCAGGTCCTTGTGTATACCGTAGGTGCGCCATTTCTTCTAAGTAACTAGGTGGGAATGATACGAAAGGGGGATTCTGTGAGGGCGAGTTGTGGAAACCAGGTCTTCTCTTCCGATGAGGTGTCACAACATAATTTTCAGGAGATGTCTGTACAAGTGATATCAAGTCCTGATCAGGGGGTTTTAGATGCGCGTAGTCCTCTAATTTAACAGTTCGTAAATCTAACTCTGGTGGTTCTAAGTAATGTGATTTCCTTTTAGCCCGTTCGATGCCACGACCTAGTCGATCACTTAGCAACTGTCTCCTATATACTGTTTCTTGGGGTTGATCATCCTGGCTTGATGATGTTGATCTTCTTCTGTTAATGTTCTGGAATAAAAACAAAATATTTATATAATTATCACTATCACTAGACTCTAAGCGTCGTTTAGGCGATGCTTTAAAGAAAGTTACAGAATATTCTTGATTTACCTTGGAAGCGACTGTTTCGACATCAACATCTTGTGAGTCGTCGTGTTCACTGCCTGTATTCTCTGAGTTCTTTGCGACTGACAAATTGACTGGGTTTGATGAACTTCTTCGTCGTGCCATAAGTCTTCCACATTCTTTGTCTCTAGTCTCACCATCCTGTTCCTCTTCATCTCTCTCATCGTTACTGCTAGTAGACATGTTTTCTTTTTTAATACTCATGTTCTCGTCCCCTTTGTCTTTGCTGAACCCTGCTCCAGATGTAGCGAGTTCGCTCTCTGAGTGTGATGAACCGGATGGTGCATCGTGTTTACTGCTTTCATTACTGTTTATATCTGTCTTTAACGTTTTTGACTTTAAACGCTCGCACGATCTATTCCTTTCTTCAGCCTGTTGTCGCTCTTTTGTGGATTTCCAAACATCTGATTTGATTTCCAGTAGTTCAAAAAGTTCTTGCATGTCATCTATTTCGCCAGACTGTAAAGATAACTTTTTTTAAGATCTTGAAGTGAAAATGTTTTATAAGTGGAAATGATTTTTAACAAAAATCTTTGAAATTAATCAATGTCAATGCCTACCACATGCAGTAATAAGAAGATAAGTTGTATGCTAACCTCAATGTAAGCTTGGCCGCTGTATAAAAACACAAGGAGATGCCTCATAAGCGTACTGTTGATTCCTGACATGTGAATTGTGACTGGATTCTCAACCGATGGTGTGTCATCCAGTATTTTCCTGGAAAACAAAGTATATCATAAGCTTTATGTATTTAGTAGAACTTTAGATATCTCGTAAACCGTATATTTATTTCAAATAAGCTTTGGTTCAACAGAAGTATCTAATTGGTATTATATCTTAGTTTAAAGTATTAAATGTAAGAGTATCTATCTACCACGAATATTCAATGCCGTATACATACTATTTACCGGTTGCAGTAGTTCAGTGCTATTGGATTGACTTACCAATTAACCTCATTAAATAATTACGATTAGATTACACTGATGGTCTATTCAAAAACGTTTATAGTACTCTTAGTGAAAACTACTAAGGCGTGATGTAATTAGTTTTGAATGTAACTACTTCCTACTTCAAGCATTAAAGCTTAATAATAATACGTAATTGTGTCTACAAATTTAATATATTCCATCTAAGTCTTAATTAATGCACAGCGTCTGACGTAAAAGTTATAAAAATCAATGTAATCGTGCCACTAAGAAGAATTAGAGTCAGTTCATTATGATAAGTCAAGAAAAAACTAGTAATATTAGTAGTAGTAATTAAGAAGTGTGTACGGTCTGGAAAAGTTGTTAAATAAACTAGATGTATATTACTAATACGTTCCGAAAAACTAAATATTCTTCCTACCTAATTAGCGGACTTGCAGCGGCCATGACGATCCTGTGAGCGGCCAACGGCACAGAGTCGTCACACACAAGCACCAGGTCTGAGTAGCGGGCGCCACGCCACGCAGCACCCACCTCATTCAAGATGCAGGCGTGGTGCTTGCCATACGTCAGAGTCAGCAGGCCCTCGCCCATCATTCCAGCACTGGAGGACAAAAAAAAACATATGTACTTGGTGAAATGCTGAGTTAAATAAAACACAGAAATTTTATTGTTTACTTTCTTGATTTCAAAACGTTTCCTATTAACTTAACGTCGTTCTTACGCAAGGTATGCAAATACTCTGATAAATATATCCTATACTAATAGGGCCTAAAACTTTTAAATAGCGGAATAAAATTATTTTAAACTAAAGACTAAAAATTCAAGCAAAATCATAAAAAAAAATATCTTTACGATGATAACGACGCGTTCCTATTTTTTACAATTGTGTGAAATTCGAGGCGTAACAAATAGCTATTGTATTTGACTAACGTGTGAAGACTTTAAAATCATTTTCCAAGTCTTTACTCTCAGACATAGACATAAGTAGGTGCAGCCATTATATCCAAAATTACGGAAGAATTTTTTTTCTTGAATGTTTTCTGTATGTGTTTTGGTGTTATCTAATTGTAGGATGAGATAGATTATTGATTCATGATCATACACGAGTTTTAGGTATAATACAGGACGTAAATAAGTGAAATCATGCTGAAACTAAGGCCCGTCATAACGTTCTCGGTTCATTGGCTTTGTTCTATGTCAGACTGAAAACCGCGAGCCGGTGTAAAGGAAAACAAGGCTGCACCCATTCGACTGTTACATTAACAAACAATTTAATATTATTATTCGCAAGCTTGAAATATACAACTAATCAGATTTTATCATTTAGATACATCATTTACTTAAAGATACAACACAATAGCGCAAACTAAAGCAATTTGAATTTCTTAACTAAATTAAAAGATGAGAAGAATTTAAATTAACGTGAAGAGCTGACGTGTTCTTGGGCTGCCAAAAGTGGCAACAGAAATCCTAGTCGCAGGTGCTAGAAAGCCTGTTGCAATAGGACCTTGGCCCGATAAAGCATCGTATCTTGCTATTAGCGTTGCGATAGAAGCGCAAGATCGTTTAAAAGACGATCAAGAGGCGCTATTTTGGCATTGTGTTGGGGGTTTAGCAACTGTAGGGGTCACAAGCGGAGGAATACTGCTTATTGTTGTAAGCAACAGTTTCTTTGTTGCTCTGTTTCATTTAAAAGTCATATTTAATTGCGATGCTATATAAAAGTATAACAAGTGACAAATAAGCGTGAATGCCACTGCGGATTTTTTTTGGAGGTGATGTTAATTCTCGCTACGTCAGGACTTTGTCATTAGTTTTTTTTTGACACGACATGGTTTGATTCAGAAATATGAATTGTTAAAGATTTGAACTGATATTAGTATAGTATCTATAAATATTGAGAAAACTAAATAAGATTGACTGATGTATAATACCTAAAATCAAACGATTGTGATGATGATTTATAATCAAACCTTAAAGATTTGTACAAAACTTTAAAACGACATTATTGTAAAAAAATAACTGAAATACTACATTTTTTTAGTTAAAGATCTAAAAAAAGTCTAACTTGTAATATGATTCGACAAAGAGGGATTTACCTGGACGAAGGAAACGAGTAGTCATTGACACAAAATTAAGTGTTTTGAAACCATACACGAGCACAAAAAATTATAATTGGAAGAACGTGAAGGAGTAATTTCATTTTCGGCGTTAAATATGGGCTGAGTTTGTTTTAATGCAACTCTTAGAAGGTAATTTAATTAATATCAAGTGTATATCATATGACGTCATTACAATTGAAAAACTGTGAGTTAGTAACAAATGCGCGTCATTGTTTATAAATGAACATGGAACAAATCGAAGGTTAGGCGTAGACAGTTGGTAAAAGTAACAACTGTTGAAGATTGATAGATAACTGGTAATTGTTTTATGATTTCAGTAAACTATTAAATAAACTGGTTTGAAGATAATATTTACTACATTTATGATTTAAAACAGGTGACTATTAGAGATTCTCTTTTCATATTCCTTTGTAATTGGCTAGTTGTTTGTATTATATATTGCAGACACGATTTCTTCATACACTCACTGAAGTTTTTATGCGAATGAAATTTGAAAAATTGAGAACTACTATTTAGTGATTAGTTTCTTTCTTACAACAAGAATTTTCCAAAAATATTTTTTTAAATTTATTTGTGGTCGATGCACTCTTAATTTCACTTTTTCAAGGCGTCCTTCCGTGTTTTCTTCGGTGATTTTCTACTCTTGCACCCGTCAACTGAACAACGTAAAAATACTAAAGCTTGACATCATTTCCTTCCTTGTCTCTTTTTGTTATGGGTGTTTGTATTGTCCTTGGGCGGCACTGGGCGGGACAACCTAACAGTCATTTGTACGTTCTATACACAGACCCATTTTCAGGCCTGGCCAGCGATGCGAGGCAGGCTCACCCGCCATTGTGCTTGTGAAGCCGCTCGAAACGATGCAGTTCCCATGTTTTGCATCGAATTAGTGTTATCTAGGGTTGGCTGTTTGTCTGAAGCCGTTTCAAGGTTTTTCAAAGATCTTTGTAAAAAAGAGATGGTATTTTATATAATTGGATATGTTATGTCAAGTTTACATATTTTGTTTTATATATAATTTGAAGTAAACAAAGGATTACGACGACTAAGAATAAATTAGTAATAAGACATGAAGATATTGCCCTTGTAAAATAAAGAGTCAATCACACTGTCGAGGTAATTTGAATATTCAAGGCTAAACTAAAATTAAATAGAGTTGGTATTAGTTCTTAATCTATTCAAGTCTCCGTTGTTTTTTTTTAGTTAGTTTAAGTTGTTTTATGTAATACCTTATTCATTTTGAAAAGAAGTGTTTATTTGAGGCAAGTTTGATGTGAAGTGTGTATTTGAGGAAAGACTTAGGGGGAAGTCCCCTAGTGCCGGACACATAAGGTTTTCAGGAAATAAAATTAAAACTACATCAAGAAATATGTATTTATTTATGAATTACTTAAATTAACAAAACATAAAATCAAAATCAAATAACAAACATAGTTTAGGAGTGTTAAATAAGTTTTGGTAAAAAAATAAAGGACTTTGACATTGGCACCTAGTGCCGGACGAGTTAATCTTCAAACCCCAAGCGCCGGACATTCTAAAACTTTTAGCATCTATCACATATGTAGGCATCTCCACATTCTGGAACGTCTGCACATGCTTCATGAGCCCATTATTGGCATCTGGAGCATTGTATCCAGTCCTCGTCGTGGTCTTCTAAACACACTACACAAGTCGTTTTTTCTATATTTGATACTTCAGTTAACGGCTCCTTTTTGTTGTCGTTATTGCCACGTTTGGTTTGTTTACTCATGGGAAATCTTCATGGCTTCAGCCAAGTCGTAAGCTAACTTCAAAAACTCGTTTTTCATCAGGGGCAGACATCTATTAGACAAATCTCTTATGTGGTCCACTAAAACTTGCTCATACTCGGGTGAGAAGGTTTTTGTGAATCTACCAACTTTTGGTTGCAACGTGACTTCTTTTCCACTGCTCAATGTCGTTATTTTATCATGTAGAGTACTTTTTGGAACATTGTAACGTGACGAAGCTGCCCTCAAACTCATTTTTTTGGACAAAATCTTGTTCATCGCAGTTTTTAAACTTTGCTGATCCCATTTTCCTTTTTTTTTCTCTCTTGCATTTTCAAATATCTCTCTCCTTCTATCCTGTAAAACAACAAACAATCATCATTACAATAAGTACAAATGCTTCATAAAAAAGCTAACCTATAAACTGTCCGGTGGTAAGGGACACCTTTGTGTCCGAAAGTAGGGGACAGGAAACGTCCAAAATTACGTATTTCATACTAAAACTGTTCAGGTATTTAATAAAAACTTTCTCAATATAATAATTATAGTGAAACACTGTCTTTATTAACAAATAACAAAAACAATTAAGGATAAAACCATAGCAGTAATACTTACTTGAAATTTACGTGACGCAACGCTTTCCCACCAAAAACAGCAATTCACGGCTTCCACCACGACTGTGCGCCTCACTGGCAAATCGCGTTGCGTGATCCTGTCTAGCTACGTTCCCCCGCACCCCTTTCACCGATTTATAAATAGATCGCGTTGACGTTTGTCAAAATAGTATGAGTGTCCGGCGCTAGGTGCCGTCCGGCGCTACGGGACTTCCCCCTATGTATATAAAACGTGGGGGAATTTAGAGACTTGTGTAAAGGTAAAATGTGCTAGTTTTCTAACATCGAAATATACTATTTATGTAAAATAAATGCTATAACCCTTTCAATGTTTTTTTTATCATTAATATTATAGAATATACCTACGGATAATTCTTGTGAACTTAAATTACTGTTTTTGTATTCAGTAATAATTACATGGAAATAAGAATGATGGAAGATAATAACGTCTACACTCAAAGTTTTTCACATCGTTGCCTTTGTATTTAAGGGGCATTTTCAACAAATCAAGGTTACTGTTCGCGACTATTGAAAACAGGTTTACTTGTAGGTAACGTTAAGCAGTGAGATACTAAAAAGAAATGTAAGACTATTATTATCAGACTCAATAAAGACTCAAAAAAAGCCAATGAAAAGAGGGTTAAATGTTTGACCTGTTTGCATGTATTATTATATTTCGAACATCTGACGCACAATGCCATCTATTTTCAAACGAAGCAGAGCTTGTATTATGAAAAGTAGATTGATCATCATCAATATCATCATCATCAACAGCCTTTAATAGTCCACTGCTGGACATAAGCCTCTCCTTAGAAAGGAGGTTTTGGCCTACTACTGACCTAAAAGTAGATTGACTGATAGAATATTTATATACTTTTTTTTTGTAAATACATGGATATTTTACATAGAAAACTCCTAAACAAATATTTGCAGATCATACAAACATTTGGTGCGACCAGGAAATCGAACCCAAGACCTCAGCACAGCACTCACATATGCTACCACTCCACCACCGAGGCAGTCTGAGTGTGTGAGAGTGGCACTGGGTAGGTTAAATTTATAAGTTATAGTAATAAAAATTAAAGATAATATTTTCCTATCTAGTAGGGTACAAAA